CCCCCCCCCACCCCCCCCCCCACCCCCTTTCCCATGTCCCTCTCTGGGAGGAACAGCGAAGCCATCCCCCCCCCCCGTGCCTGTTGAGCATCGGCTGCCGTTCCTTTAAGGCGGAAACGTTGCATTCCAGCGAGGAGGAGGAGGTGGTGGTGGTCCTTCAGGTTTGTGGGGCTCCTTTTCTAAAACCCACAGCTAGGTCCCAGAAAGCCACCAAGGGAGGGGGCCTGATGCTCCAGCCCTGCGCCGACCGTGCGGCTCTGCTCGAGAGCACCAACTCGTGATCTTTTAGCGCTCCACTCAGCAGGTTTAATTCAGGGCAAAGGAAACCCGCTCTGTTGCCGCCAGCAAGGATTTTGACAGGTTTTAGGAAGTCAGATCAAAGACACGAGGGCATTCGCTATGACAAAGGATGGCAAAGAAAATCCTACCTCCAGTTTAAAAATACCATTTAATTTTTGACAGAAAACAGGTGACACACAGCTCTGTGCAAATTTTTTTTTCTTTTTACTGACGCCCAAACTGCACACAATGGTTCACACAGGGTGTTCTTCAACAATGGGGGGAGAAAAAAATTAACTGAAGATTCAACAGCCAGTTTCTTTTTCTCTAACTGGCAAAGCTGTGGGAGGGGGAAGACAAACCCCTCCGAAGGTTTTTTTAAAGCAAAGTGACTTTTCTCTTTGGTCAAGTTCCCCCGTCAGGTTTATTATTTTAACATTTAGGGCTTCAACAGCAGCAAAGGGGGTATTGGTGAAGTTTGGGGTCTCTTCAAGTGCAGGATGAGGTAACTTGGGTTGGAGGCACATTGTGGATACCTGTAAGGGAGGGAATCGCAGTCAGGTGCCATCGCAGAAACGGCCCTGGGGAGCCCCTCGGCGCAAAGGAACGGCGGCAGGCTGCTCTTCCCAGGGAGGCCATCAAAGGAAGGGCAGCTATGGCCACGTTCACAGGGAGCAGGAGGAACACACACACACACACACACACACACACACACACACACCCAGGAGGACTCTGAAAACTGATTAGGAAGAGGAATGCAAACCTAATCTGAATTTTCAGCAGGAGATGCAAGGCCCCCATGCCTAAAACAACTGCTGAGCAAGACAAGCACAACTTATTGGCAGCTCCCAAACAGCTCTGATGGCTTGACAGGCAGGAAGGGCTTCTGCTTTAACCAGGCAGCTAGCCAGGGGCATCAGGGGTAGCTGGCGGGCCGAGAAAAAGCCCAGATTTCCCAACAAATCTTCCCTTGTTACTGCATCGGAGAGATACCTGGCCAATGAAACACTAGAAGCATCGTGAGGGGAGGAAGAACGCTGTCCTGCTCCAGAAATTTCAGAGACGTTCGTTTGCATTCCAGACGTCTGGCAGCTTTCAGAGCCCCCCTCCCCAATGCATCAAATCAAGAAAATTTAGTGCGAACTGAACGGCAAGTCTTTTCCAACTAACCCAAAATGTAAGTTCATGTTTGGAGGGTCACGGATTAACAATGTTTTATTATTAGCCGACTTCAAATCAATCAGCCTCTTTCAACCCGGCCTACCTCATAGGTTTGTTGTGAAAATACATTGGAGCAGAGTTGAAACTCCTCCAAATTCACCATCTTGGGAAACCCCCCACCCACTGCCGACTCGCTCCCTGCCCAGCCCCCCTTACCAGATCACAGCTCTTGGCATCCCCTCATTGTGTGCAGGTCTTCATGCCAGTAAGGCTGGGGCAAGCTCTCCCCCTGGCTCAGGTGTTGAAATCTGCAACGGAAGGCAGCAGGCTGCAAACGCCCGCTGCAGCCCAGCTCGAGGGGGACCCCTCGTGGCCCAGAAAGGCACCACAGGGCCAGCCCACGTCCAGCGCGTCTCTCCAAGGCATCCCGTGGGGGAGCCGCCTTGGGACCCCTAGGGGAGCGATCCCGGGGATATGGGGTGCCCTGCTTACATCCACAAGCTGTTGCTGGATTTCCGGCAGCGGCTGGGTGGGACTTTCCTGGGCTGGGGAAGCAGGCTTGCTGGCTTCCACTGCGGCTTCTTGAGTCATCGCAGGAGCGCTGGCAGCAGGGGTGTCTCCGCCGGCAGCTGCGGAGCTGGGAGCCGGCTGCTCCTTGGTAGCGGTGGGGGCCTAGGGCAGAAGAGAGGAGGCTCACGTGTCTGAGCGGAGACCTGCAGGGGAAGGGGCTGCACAGGTAGCCACGCAGGGAAGACGACCAGCCAGTGTGGGGCACCCGTGGGGTAAGGGAGACCTTCCCCATCCCGCCTTCCTTGTGGATTGAGCGAAGGCACCTCGGGCATTCAGAAGCCAGGAAAGCTGCTTTCTACAGCAATCAGAGTTTGAATTATTTCAGAAAAACAAAAGC